TTAAAAAAAAAAAAAAAGAAAAAAGTTCTCAAAACAATAAATTAATAGGTCTCAAAGTAATAAATTTTCACCTTAACGCACTCAAAAAAGAAGAGCAAACTAAATCTGAACAAGCAGAGAGAAGGAAAGGAAAAGATTGGAGCAGAACTTAATGAAATAAAGACTATTAAATAATAGAGCAAACAATGAAACCAAAAGCTGGTTCATGGATAACACCAACAGAAGTGACAAACCTTTAGCTAGATTGACCAAGAAGAAAGAAGACTCAAATGTTTAAAATCAGGGGCACCTGGCTGCCTCAGTTGGAAGAGCATGTGACTCTTGATCTCAGTGTTACAAATTGGAGCCCCATGTTGGGTGTAGAGATTACTTAAAAATAACATCTTAAAAAAAACCTCAAACATTTAAGGGGTGCTTGGGTGGCTCAGTTGGCTAAGCATCTGACTCTTGAGTTCAGCTCAGGTCATGATCTCAGGGGATCGGGCCCCACATCGGGCTCCAGTGCTCAGCTCTGAGTCTGCTTGGGATTCTCCCTCTTCCTTTATCCCTCCCCCCACTCATACTCTCTCTCTCTCTCTCAAATTAAAACAAAACAAAACAAAAACCATTTAAAATCAGGGGTGCCTGGCTGGCTTAGTTGGTAGAGTATATGACTCTTGATCTTGGGGTCATGAGTTTGAGCCCCACATTGGGTATAGAGATTACTTTAAAAAAATCTTTAAAAAAATCTAAAATCAGAAATGAAGTAAGGGACATTACTACCTACCTTTTGAAAGTGAAAAGAATTATAGAATACTATGAACAACTGTATTTCAATAAATTAGATAACAGGTGAAATAGTCAAATTCTTAAAGACTCATGCTATCAAAACTGACTCAAGAAGAATAGACATCTGAGTAGACCTGTTACAAGTGAAGAGATTGAATTAGTAAAAAAAACAAACCAAGACCAAAACCAAAAACTACCCACAACAAAAAGCCCAGGTTCGCCTGGCTTTACTGCTGAATTCTACCAAACATTTAAACAAGAATTAATACCAATTTTTCACAAATTCGTTCAAAAAATAGGAGTGAACACTTCCCAACTCATTCTATGAGGCCAATATTACTGTGATTTCAAAACCATACAGAAACATCACAAGAAAACTACAGAGCAATATTTTTATGAATATGGATGCAAAAGTCCTCAACAAAATGCTAGCAAACCTAAATCCAGCAACATATAAAAAGAATCATGCACCTAAGTATGTGGGATTTATCCCCCAAAATGCAAGGTTGGTTTAACCATCTGAAAATCAACGTAATACACTTATATCAATAGAAAAAAAACAAAAACCACATGATCATCCTAATAGATGCAGGAAAAGTACTTGACAAAGTGCAACACTCTTGCACGAGAAAAACACTCAACAAACTAGGAATAGAAGGGAACTTCCTCAACCTGGCAAAGGGCATATGTGGCAAAACCCACAGCTAACATCATGCTCAGAAAAAGTATTCATGCTTTCCTGGTAAGATCAGGAACAAGACAAAATATATGCTGTCACTTCCATTCAACATTGTACTGGAGGTGCTAGTCAGGGCATTTAGGCAAGATAAATAAATAAAAAGTATCTGAACTGGAAAGAAAGAGGCAAAACTATATTCACGGATGACAGGATCTTATATATAGACAACCTAAAAATCTACAAAAAAACTATTAGAACTGGTAAACAAGTTCAATAAATTTGGAGGATATAGGATTGATATATAAAAAGCAATTATATTTCTCTACACTGGTAATGAACACTCTAAAATGAAATTAAGAAATTATTCCACTCACAACACCATGAGAAAGAATGAAATATTTAGGAATAAATTTAAAGAAGCACAAGACTTATACTCAGAAAACTACAGAACATTGCTGAAAAAAGTTTTAAAGATCTGAATAAATGGAGAAACATCCCATGCTCATGTACTGCAAGTACTAACTGCATAGGATTTGTTTTGAATGTGACGAAAATGTTTCAAATTGACTGCAGTGATGGTTGCATGTATCCGTGAAGATACTAAAAACTATTAAATTTTACACTTTAAATGGGTGAATTGTATGGGCTGTGGATTATATACTTCAATAAAGCTGTTTTTTTTTTTAAGTTTTTATTTTAATTCCAGTTAGTTAATATACAGTGTTATATTCGTTTCAGGTGAATAAAGCTATTTTTTAAAAATATAAGTAAATAAACAGGGGCTCCTGTCTGGCTCAGTTGATCTCAGGGCTGTGAGTTTGAGGCCCACGTTGGGGTAGAGATTATTAAAAAATAAATAAACTTAAAAAAAAAAAGGAAAGGAAATAAACACAGTGATAACTCAGCTTGCTTTGTAGAGTGCCCAGACTCTGAGCATTGCATCCCCAGAGTGGTTCCCACACCCCCTTGGGATGTGGGTGTTTCACTATGACTCTCATTTCATGTGTGAGAAAAAATATATAGAGAAAAGCAAATTCCATGTTTTCATCCAACAAACAATCCTTGAAGCCAAGGAGTTGGCCTTGTCTAAGAGGCCACAGTGAAGAAGTGGAATAAAGGAGGGTTCCCAGGTCTCCTGTCCTACTGTTGCCGGCTCTGCCTTTCTGGGCCTGAACTTCAGCAGCCTGGGTTGGTTCCTGGGTCCCACGAGGTCCTGGGGGCACCAGGGGTCTTGTCTGAGGACGTGAGGCTCCAAGACACTTGTTCGTGCATCTGGACCAGTCTGGGCCTCATAGCAACCAGGGGTTTGATGAGGACTCCTGGGAGCAGTCCGCATTCATTGCCTGATCTGGGAAGCCCTGTGGTGTTGGGGCGAGGGGGGAGGGGTCCAGTATTACTGCTCTTCCTCCCAAAGTCATACATACGTCCAAAGTCATGGACCACCTCTTCTCTGAAGCCAGAGCCCAGCTCAGCCTGGACGGGGAATCGGGAGGGGAAGTTCCTCTATCAGAAGATGCTGGGGTGTGGGAGTGGGGGGCCAGGATTTTGAGGGGCTTCTTGGTCTAGGAATTAGCAATTACCTGTGTTTCGATTTCCAGGTGACCATGAGGCCAAACTGGGGTTTTCTCTAATGGGGTTGTGAATTGGGAGAGGGGATAAGAGTCTAGTCCCTTCCCTTCCGCAGGGTTAAGTCAACCTCCCCTCTGGCCTCCCCCATTATTTGTCTCTCCAGGCTCTCTTTCTGAGAGGACCCCAAAGAAGGATCTTGCTGACACCTTGTCTGAGAGACCAGAGACTGAAGCGATGCAGTGAATTCTGAAGGCTGAGAAGCAGAGGACAGGTCTTTTGGTTTTTAGATCCGGATGTGAATTCCAGGTTCACCCCATCTGGCTGTGGGACCTTGGGCAAGCAGTGCAGCACGCTGAGATGCAGTTTCCCTGGATGTTCAACGGCTCCTTCTGCGCAGTCCGTTTTGGAGGGAAACGTTCAGGAGGGAGGCGGTAGGTCATCGCAATTCCCCAGGCGAGACAAGCAGGCTCAGCCCGCGGAGCTGGAACAAAGGCAAATCCAAGGGTGGGTCAAAGGGCGCCTGGGTCAGTTCCCAGCACTGGCTTCTGCGACCACGGCACGCAGCGGCGTGAGCGACTCCACCGGGGCCGCACCCCTCGCGTCCCGGTCCCCTCCGGTCCCGCAGGGCGGACACACCCGGCGCCAGGGAGAGGGCGTGCGCGGGAAGGGGCGGGCCCTCGGCTGGGCCGCGAGGAGCGCGGAGCGGCGTGGGGAGCGCGGCCGCCAGGGGAGGTAGGCCGGGGCGCGCAGCCGGGCGCGGGAGTCCGTCCTGCTGGCAAGGAACGCAGGCGGCGCCAGGGGCAGCAGGGCGAGCGCCGGGGCTTCGGCGGTGCGGGGCGGTAGGCGGAACAGGAAGGCACCGGCGGCGCAGCAGCTTCGCCCGGCGCGGAGAGGGGGCTCTTACGCGGCCTCCCCCTGGCAGTGTCCCCCCACCCCGCCCCAGGCTCCTGCAGAGGACACGTGTCAGCACGTTCCCGCCGTTGTCGTCTCATCCCATGTCATAGCCCCTCCCCGAGGCCTGGGACACCCCCCCCTCCGGGCCCCATTATCCCCAGGCCCAACCTCCCACGCTGACCCGAGGCCCAGGCCGGGTCCCCTCTCCTCCACCGGCCGGTCTTCCCGGACAGCGAGCGCCCTGGCCCGGCCCCCAGCCGAAGACGCCCGTCAGCACGTTCTCACCCCTGTCCTCTCAACCCTCTGCCTAGCTCCGCCCCGGGCCTGGGAACCCGGGTCCCTTTGGCCCATTGTCCCTGGGCCCAGCTCCGCGCTGACCGCAGGCTCGGCCCTACCCCCTGCCGGGCGCGTCTCCCCCGGCAACGCGCCGCAGCCACCCGGGATGCAGCCCGCAGGCTGGGCGGCCGTCAGGGAGGCGGCGGGCCGCGACGTGCTGGCCGCCGACCTCCGGTGCAGCCTCTTCGTCTCGGCGCTGCGCAGCTACAAGCGCGACTCGGTGCTGCGGCCCTTCCCCGCGTCCTATGCCCGCCACGACTGCAAGGACTTTGAGGCCCTGGTGAGTGTGCTTCCCTCCACCCCTTCCTGCGCTGTCCTCTGCGTCCCAGGCCACGTGGCCTGTGGACCCGTAGTGGTAGACACGCCAGCCCCCAGACTTAACATTCCCAGCCTGGCCTTAGGGAAGGTTTCCATGAACTCACAACACTCACCCGCACCCTAACATCGACACTCCCAAGGCTTTTGGTGGCTGCTTCCTCATGTTAGTGACAAGTGACTCCCAGGAGTGAAGTGAGAATTCAATAGGTGCGTAGGCCTCCACAAAATTTCTTAGCATGGTCAGCAGTAGGGGGTAGGGGTTGATCTGAATCATGCTTCTGCTAAATAAAAAGTTATTCATCCCTTTGCAAGTAATCAGACACCAAAAATCACCAAAGCCACCCAGACCTTGATCTTCAAATGATATATGGGCAGTACTTGTATAAATTGTAACATACAGTCCGCATGTCAGCTGTTACTTATCCCATGATTCACAAGGCACTTAATTTCTTACAGAGTTCACCTCAGGGTCAGCATTCCAGATATCAGTTGTCTTTGTAATTCAAATATTTGGAATTTCCTAGACAAATATAATTTACCAAAATTGATTCTATAAGAAATAGAAAATCAAAATACCCTGTAATCATTAAAGGCATTGAACGAGTAGTAAAAGATTTTCCCTCAAAGAAAACTCCGGACCTACCTGGTTTCCTTGGCGAATTCTACCAAACACACCAGGGGAATACGTGCTTCCAGTTTTACTTTGTGTAAAATTCTTTCAGAGTATTGAAAAAGAGGCTAATATAAGTTTGATCTAAATCTGATATATCAGGATAACACAAGAAAAGAGAATTACAGGCCAGGGTCACTCATGAGTATAAATGTAGAAATCCTTCATAAAATATTAGGATCCTGAATCTAGCAATGTATAAAAAGAATAATTCCCCATTAACAGGGTGGATTTATCCCAGGAATCAAAATTAGTTAAACATTAAAAAAAAAAAATCAATGAATGTTATGAATCATGTTAACAGATTAAGGGAGATGTTTAGAATCAACAGATGTTTAGAATTTTCTCTGATGAGGTGGTCAGGGTTAGATTCCCTCTTTGCTCTCATTCTTAAGAGGTCTAGGGACAAAGGCCCAGCCTCCTAACCCTTACCTGGTCCATTGCAGCCCAGGCCAGGGATGTGTTGAGGGTACCTCAGGCCTTGACCACAGGGCATAGGCATTTCAGGGTGCTACAGGGAGCGGGGGTTGGAGAAAGATAAGCCAGCTGACTTCCCCATGGTTTGTTCTGAAAATTCAGATATTCGGTTTTGTGAGTTTGTGATATCAGAGCCTTGGGGATGAAACGTCCTTCAGTTTTGTCAGGAGATTATGGAGTGGCTGCTGTGGGCCAGGTGCTAAGGGTACAGAATTAAGACCCAAGGAGAGATTAACAGTGTGTTCAGCTGTATTATGGGGGTAAGCCTGTATATACAACCTGGAAGCCCAGAGCCAGAATCCCAGTCCTTGGCAGTGCGCTGGGGTCAGGGGCCGTTGGCTGATGCCATGCTGAGTCCCTAGGGACATGGAGGATTTTTTTTTTTTTTTTTTTTTTTTTGAGGAGCAGAGAGCAGGAAAGGGGCATTCCAGGAGGAGTAGCAGGATGGGCAGAAAGCCAGGAGCTCATCAAGAAGGACAAGTCTGTGCTTTAGTGTGGCTATCAAGGGGAACAGGAAGAGATGAGGTTGACCAGAGCACACAGAGCTGGGCATGTTTTGCCAAAATGTGTTGATTTTACCCTTGGGCAGAGGAGGGCATTGGTGAGATCCAGGATGCATTTTTTAAAAGATTTTATCTATTTATTAGAAAGCGCACAAGTCGGGGGTGGGCAGAGGGAGAGGGAGAAGCAGACTCTCTGCTGAGCAGGGAGCCCGATGCAGGGCTCTATTCTAGGACCCCGAGATCATGACCTGAGTTGAAGGCAGATACTTAGCTGACTGAGCCACCCAGGCACGCCCAGGATGCATTTCTGAAAGACCCCTGGGGTGGCAGGGTGAGAGAGGGATCTGTTTCAGGAGGGGTAGACAGAGGAGGAGAGATTAGGGTCAGAGGGACCAAACTCACCAGAGATGGTGCCCCACAATGCACCTTATTAATTTTTACCAAGAAGCATCCAAATGGACTAGAATGCTCAATGTGTTCTTTTCCTGCTGGAAGGTCTTGATGGCAAACAGAATCAGGTTTGACGAATATGGGACAAAATCAAAGGGAGCTTTGGAATTGTTTTGATGTGTTTATGCTTTTTACAAATTTATTTTTAATTATGCAAACAATGGTTGGATATATTTTTGTGATAAAAATACAAATGGTACTGATAAAGTAAAAGTGCCCCCCTATTCCACATCCCCCCCATAGGTATGAGTGCTCTCAGTTGAAGGCACTTTCTTCCTTCCTCTCATACCTATAACCTCTTAGGAGAGCATTGGCGATTCAGGTAACCCCAAATAGCCACTCCTTTTAGGGACAGACTGTCCAGGCATGGGGCTCATTGTGCCAGTTCTAGCCAGGGCGCCCTTTCTCCCAGGGGCCACTGGAGAAACATGGACAGGTTCTTCCCATCCTGTTCTGGCACCATATTCCTTATTGGGCACCATTGTGAGGGAAGCTAGCCCAGGCTGAACAGCTTCTTGGCTGTGTGTAGGCATGGTTTTAACAAGCAGTTTCCCTGGAGAAGGCCACTCACCAGGCAGGGCCTGGCACAATGTCTGCTGGGGGCATGCACATATTCTTAAATAAATATACTTTAGGTTTTTGCCACATGTTACATGAATTAGAGAAAAGATGCAGAGAACTTGGTATCTGGACCTATATCTGACTCAAAGCTTAGCTTTTTATTAAGTAAACTCTACCCCCAACGTGGGGCTTGAACTCATGACCCTGAGATCAAGAGTCCTGTGCTGTACTAACTGAGCCAGCCAGGTACCCCTCAAAGGTTAGCTTTTAGAGAAAAGGGAATCAGGTCCGGACTTGGCCTTCTGGATTATTTTGTGGTTACCTGAAGAAGGAAGGTATGGAGCTGTTAAAAAGTCTCTCATTGTTAGCTAAAAGCACTTGGAAATAATGTGAAACACTGTATCATTTTCAGCCATTTTTAATTCATTTTCTCTCCACCATCATTACACACCCCTATAACACATGTGTTGCCCTTTCCAAAACTTACAGCTCTGGCTGAATTACTTTATTGACTGTGGCTTTCCTGAGAACATCCCCTACTGAACCAAGCTCTTGGCTTTAGGCATGGCTCTCGCCTTATTTTGTCACAGCCCCCAAAGCCCCAAATCATCTCTCAGTCCCCTTGTTTGGAGAACATTTCCATTCTGAGTCAGCTCTTCAATTTTGCACTGAGAGTTCTTTGTATTCCCAGGGTCTGGCCTGAGACGTGCTTATCACATGTTTGAGGAATCAAATTAGGTATGTGCTGATTGCCTCTGACTGAGGGTTTCTAACCTTGTTCCTTGGGAAGAGGGTTGGCTAAGCTCTTACTAGGTCAGAGAATCTCTAAGATTCTCGGGATGTCCAGTAGCCCTGACCATTGACCACTGAACCTCAGGTTGAGCTATCCTGGGCACAGTTCATATTCCTGAGTCGCTTTACACAGAATCTTGTCACTGGTGTCACAGCTGTTAAGTTTTTTGTTTTGTTTTTCCCCTGGAAAACATCATGCTCTGGTTCACCCTTAGCCGGAAGACCCTTTCTGGGAGTAGGAGGTCAGGGGGAATGGCTCCTTTGTATTAATTCCAGCCCCTTGCCACCCAAAGTGTGGTTGAAGACCAGCAGCATCAGCATCGCTTGGGAGCTAGTTAGAAATGCAGAATGTTGGGCCCCACCCCAGACCTACCCAATCAATACCTGCATTTTAATAATATTCTTGGGCATATGTGTGCACTGTAAAGCCTGAGAAGCACTGTATCTAGCCTACCCCATTCCCATCTACTATTTGGGGGGCTGAGCTGCACTAATCGACTCTTCTGGTTCTGGTCTGTGGCTTGTGCTCTCTAGCCAAGCTGACTCCCCAGTGTCTGGGTTAAAACATAAATAAGCTTCTCTCTGTCCTGACCCCAGGGAATGCCTGTCCTCTCCATGCCATCCCCCTCTTTGTCCAGACAAACTCTCCTTAATCCTTTAGGACATAACTAGAACCTCATCTTACCACCTTATTCTCTGTCTCTACCCCCAGCAGTTAGGAGTCCTTCTTCTGGGATCCTTTACAGTTTAAAAAATTTTACTCTTACAAATACTGCTATGATAAACTACCTTGTACAGTAATCATTATTTATATCTCTAGTTATTTTCTTGAGATAAATTCCAAAGGGTGAAATTGCTGGCTCAAAGGGTAAGCAACCTTTCTAAGCAAGGCTTATACAGATATAAAAAGATTTGGATCAGACGTAGGTATGTGGCGTGACTGTTGGTGGGTATGTGGCTAGAAAGATGTCTCAGCCTGTAGGATGATGATATGGAGAGCCCAGGGGTGGGATCATCCTTCCAGTACAGACTGCCTCCTTCCTTCCCAGCCATCCCAGAAATGTAGGCTTTTCCTTATCGAATTGGTGAGCAGGAGAGAGGTGGTGTTTGATTAATAATAATACAGTACCTAATGCTTATATAATACTAACAGCACTTACTACCTGCCTGGCACTCTTCTGAACTGTTTCTACATGGAACTCATTTAATCTTCTTAACAACTCCGTGATATGGGTTCTCTTAGCATCTCTGTCGCCATCAGCTAGTCAGTCTATGTGCTGGTGTTAGACCACCCTCCAGCTCCCAGATAATGGTGGCATGTAGCCAGAGAACCATTCCTTTAAAGGGACCCCGCAGTGACTGCTTTTGTGAAGAGTTCTCTTATAGACTCTGACCCCCAGTCTGTTTTAATAAATCTGGATGTTCAGACCTTAGGTTTGTACAAAGCAAGGTATATCTGCCCCCAGTCCCACACGCACTCCGCTGTTCCAGGTGTCACTTTATCGGTTT